GATACAGATACAGATATAGATATAGAGATAGATGTAGATATAGACATAGACATAGATATAGATATATTATTATTAGTATTATTTATAGTTGTGTACATTTTATGTATACAACTTCTATCGATAATTTGCGAGGGAGACCTCGCAGAACATCCAGAGGACAAGAGTAGCCGCAGTCCTTGCCTCTGCGCCGGGGTTTGCATTCGGCGCTGCGGGAGTGCTTCGGCCGCTCTGGGGCACTCCCGGTTCAGCCTCAGCCAGAGCTGAATTTTCTCCCCCCCTTTATCGGAATGATATGGTGGAGGCAAAAGGTAACTACAACCGATGAACCAGTAAAGAACCCACCTAAACAAAACAGCCCTCCAACCTCTCAGCCAAGCGAGGGGCTTGAGGTTTAAAGCCTTTTCGGGGTGCCTATAGGGTTGTGTAAGGAATCTGCTTAGTGATTCGGGCTACAAAACTTAGTAGGGTTAGCATTCAGCGCTGAAGATCTTCTGCTAACACCGGCCCGACTCCTTCCTGCCACCCGTCCCCATCAGCAAAACTTCTTGAGTACTTAATCGACCTGCCTGGTCGACCCCCCAAGAATCAGCCATGGTAGCAGCACCACCAAGAGCAAAAGAGGAAGAGGAGGAGAAGCCGGAACGGCAGCAGAGCCGCCTTTCAAGAAGCCATGTCTGTGGCCAATGAGGAAGCAAAAAACTCGAAATCGAAACGTCGTAATAGTGCACTAGTCGTTGCGACGAGGAGAGTGCACATCTCGATAGTACTCACTCAAATCTTACAATCTCAACAAGAACAACGAACAGTTCCTGCTACTACTGTTGGAATTTCTTCCTCCGAGTATCATCCTCATTCTTATTCGCATTTTTGCTACTAACCAACTAAACTCTGCATCTGGCGTCTCAAAGTAAGCCCATGGCAATGGCAGTCGCAGAAGGCACCGATGGACTACAATTCGTACTTCGCGGCAAAGCGGCTTCTTTGGCCTGGGATTGCTGGGGCTTCAGGATCAGGGTCTCAGCCAAGGGGTTTGAATAGGATAATTAGCCAATGTCGGATACACAGCCACAGCAAGACGACTAAAAGCCACCACCACCCCCAGCACCACCACCAACACGTGCTTCTGCAACTACGATTTCCACTCCTGCACCAGTGCCCGGCCCCCCAGCGGCACAAGCAGCAACTGAGACCTGGGCATAGGAGCCGTCTGACCTGGATGTTGGTGGCGACAGCATCGGACTCCTTCCTCGCGACGATTCTTGTTTGGGAATGGGGGAATGGGGGGTTTCTGAAGGAGAGGCGGACCCTTTGCAACTCCACATGGGGTTCAGCGTCTGCCAGCTCGAAAAATCCGAACTGCAGTCGAGTGACAGATCAAGAAGGCAAGGCACTCTTGAACTTGTATTCTAGCCCAAACCAGGAGGAACCCTCTACGGCTCAACGGACCAGCTTCAAAGCGGTCCTGTAGCGGTGCTGACCTCGGTAGGCTCAGACTGCTACGAGTACTACGACTAGTTTAGCACGGTCTGGGATTTGGGCCCCTTTAGGGCTTGGGGGTTATGTAAGGGGCTTTGACGCTTCTAGTCGTTTGTGGCCTGTAGGGTCAAATTTTCGAGAATCTCCAGCCCTACGGTGGATGATATAAATCCTGCATGAGTTTTTAAGACACAGGCCGCTCCCCATCGAACCCCTGAATTTGAATATTGTCGAAGGCAGACGCGCGCGAATCGGACCGCACGAATGATATACATCCTGCATAATCCTGCATGACCTCTACCCTAACATCAACATTGAGATTCAGGGGTGTGGGGACATAACTCCTTGGACGGTTCATATTGGGCTGGCTCAAAGTCATGCACGATTTCGATCATCAGCAGTAGTTCCGATTGACAGTGCCTGGCGCCCCGAAGCTGCAAACCTCAACCCCAATTTAGGTCTGCTTCCCGACCCTTGCAAGCCTTCAATTCCTCAACCCGATGCCTTAGTCAGGCTCTACAACCCTAAACTCTAAGGATGCTTCAAAGGAGCTGGGGACGCATTCTCGCTTTTGAAGAAGTCAGGCTGCTGCTCCTAGGACAAGGGCCAGCGGTTGGGGAGGTTTAGGGTTTAGGTGCCCGAACGCGGAAGTGCCATCTCGAGGGCAGTCGACCGGTTCCCCCATCAAAGATACCGAAACCCATGGCTGCTCTACACGGGGCTTGAGGAAGGCATCCTGCAAGCGGCCAGGTGCTGTGCAGAGTGAAAGTCTCATCCTTGTAACACAGAATCCGCAAAGGAAATGGTTAGTGTATTACCTGCAGGCAAGTGCTCCTTCTCCGCGAGAATATCTGAACCCTGGCGAGGACACAACTGCACTCAATCACTGACATCAACATGCCATCAAGGAGGTTGCAGTCGTGGAGGCCTTTTGGCTGGTCGGCACCACGTTTCCAAAGGCAAGTGCCACCTCTTCAGGTCTCTTCTCTGAAAGCCGCCTTGGTAGCAGGCTTTAAGGAACTCACAGCAGTGGAAGCACACTGCGACACTTGCGTGCTGCGACTAAGAGATGCACTGCAGGACGTCGACCAAGGACTGGGACGGAAGGGCAGCCAGCGCGGCCAGAATGGCCTTCGAATCTCGGGCAAGAGCCGCTGCTCGCAAAATGACCGCACCTGGACAGCTGGATGCATTCTGCCTCATCAAACTGAACTGCTGGCGCCATGGGTGCGGTCTGCCTGCACAGGTCAGAGTCCCAGTCAAAGCGCAACAGTTCAAAAAAAAGACAAGCGAACCTATTGCGAATGGCGCTGGAGTCTGTACCGGCGCGGGACCTGCGGCAACTTTGCAGATCTTTGAAGCTGCTGCCTTCCGAAGAAAGGAGCCCCTGCACCTGTGTCCATGATGCCCTTTCTGGATAGCACTATGATAGCACCAACATCTAGACTGCTGCTGCTTGCTCGCCCTAAGCCCTAAAGCCTAAAACCCTAGAAACTTAAGCATAAAACCTTCAGACCCTTAGCCTTGGAACCCTGAAGCCTACATACCCTAAACGCTAAGCCCCAAATTCCCGAAACCCTCGAATGCCTGCCCGGTGCGGAGCGATCCTGGCTTTTTGCACTCGCTTGTGTTCGTTGACTCGGTCTTGCTTCAGGGCTTGGGGCTTGAGGCTTTTGGGTTTGAGGCTTTTGGGTTTGATCGGTCCTAGTCCAGGGATCGACACCTTAAACCTCCAACTCAGTCGGTTGCAGGTCTAGGTCCAGGTAGGTGCAACAACAGCTCCTACCAATCACACATACATATGTATGTGCGTGTCTGTATGTGTGTATGTAAGTATATGTATGTACATGAAAAGGTTGACCTCATACTGGTGTTGAGAAATTTTGACCCCGTGATTGTTTTCACAACCGAAGCGAAGAAAACGTAGAAGAAAAAAGCTGGTCACAGGACAAAAGCCCAGGAACCGGAACAAAATCATCGCATCTATAATATAAAGACAAATAAGACCTAAACCCTTACAAGCCATGTTCAACACCCAGCCCCAAGCCCTGAAGGGAGCCGTGAACCTTACTTCACGTCGCTTGGTCCTTGGGCGTCGGCAGCTTAAGATCTTTCGCAGGTGCCTCTTCTCAGGGATGGTCTGGGGTGGTTAGGGCTTAAGGCGGCCCTTAGTTCAGGGCGTAAGATTCAAGGTCTCTTGCATCAACCATCCAGGGTTTCCAGGGAGACGTTGAAGTGTTGCCTTCAGCATTGCTTGCTGTCCACAAGTTTAGAACCAGGGACTCTGCGCGGCTCGGAAACTCTCGTCGAAGGTGTGCCCTTCTGCAGGGAAGTCGAGCTACAATCTTGAATTCATTGCTTGAGTTTGCATGTCGGGTTTCAGTTATGGGTTTGGGATGATGATTTCGGGTGGCAGAGCTGGTGCTTGCTCGAAGCGTTTGCCATCAAACAAACCGGCGCTTGGTACAAACAACGAACCACGAAAGTATGAGGGGGCCGTGAGGCTTCAGATATCTTCGGACTCATGTCGTGGTGTGTTTGAATGTGCTACAAGGCTGCTGGCACTGCATCCAAGTTGCCGCAGCCGGCCAGGCAGGTGCGGGCTGCGGTGATGTGGAGGTCCCGACCTTTTGGCATAAGCACGGACCAAGTATAAAGCCAGAATGATTACTACTCCGACTATTATACCACTACTCATAATAATACTAGTAGTAGTAGTAGTAGTAGTAGTAGTAGTAGTAGAGTAGTAGTAGAGTAG